CAATGTTGAAGGCGGTGCGGTCGGCGAAGTCATAGTCGAGACCACAGAAAGCATAATCACCCACCTGATGCGGCGTAGGGCCAAGCCGCGACGAAAAGAGGTGTCGAGGAACATCTTGCCGAGACGCAACGCTCTGGGCACACGGAGAAATCGGCGGCGACGAAGACGACGAAGAGGGAGCACCCCCGCAAGGCGGCGAAAAGTGGGAAGACAACGATCCAGCAGAAATGCCGCCAGCGAAGACCGCATAATGTGGCAGGAGCGAGTCCAGCTTCAGCACGCGCTAGTCCGTCGAGCACGGCATGGCGGCAACACCAGGCGGAACGTCTGGCACACGATGTTTGGCGCGGACAGCCTGTTTGTGAATGGCCCGCAGCTGAGCGATCGAGTCGGCGTCGAAGCGGGGGGTGGCATTCACAAGAGCATGTCGTAGACTGCGCGCCTGAACTTCAGAGACCGTCTGCACCACAGAGTGCGCGGCGAGACCCTTCACGACATCTTTGGCGTTTGAGGCCAAATACATCAGCACGGCGATGTGGCGCATCCCGGAGGGGCGAGCCTGGAGATACATCCGTGCTCGCGAACGATCGCGGCGAATTCTCAACTTCTCACGCGGCCTGCAATGCACCATGCAAACAGTCACTCCAGCGAGCAGGCACCACGCGAACCGGCGGCGGCGCTTACCATGGCATGCGGGGGGAGCTGAGGCGCGTGCGGGGCCCCGACTTAGCATGTGGCTTGAGCCAAAATAGCTACAGAGGAGGAGGAGGAGGAGGAGGAGCTCTGGAGCTCTGGATATAGCGACTAGGTCGGGTGAGGAGGAGGAGGAGACGGAGGACGAGGATGCAAAGACCTAGGACGAGGAGGAAGAGGAGGAGGAGGAGGAGGAAGCGGAAAAGCGAGAAGTGAGAAGTGAAGAGGAGGAGGAGGTGGAGGAGAAGGAGGAGGAGGAGAAGAAGAAGGGAGTGGTTAAAAGAAGGACAAAGGAGAATGGGGAGCGAGCATCAGAAGGCTCCGGGCGCCCAGCGGCGCCGACTCAGCGGGAGCCGTGCCGCCCGCAGCGGCACCGACGCGCGGCAGCCTGAGACCGGCGCTGCCAGGCCCAGGCGGGGGCGAGGGCGTGACCCTCGTCCTCCTGCTCTCCCTCCCTCCTTCCTCCCTCCGTCCTCCAACCCTCCCTCCTCCCACCCCCTTCTCCCCTTCTTCTGCTCCTCCCCTTCTCCTTCTTCTCCTCCTCCTCCTCCTCCTCCTCCTCCTCCTCATCCCCATCCTCCTCGCACGTAGCTCGGAATGAAATTCCATCAAGCACACGTCTAAGCCTGCTGTGAGAGTTGCGCACGAGCTGAGCGATCCTTGTCCTCCTTCCGTCCTCTCCTCCCTCCCCGTCCTTGCGGTTCCTCCACCTCCTCCTCCTCATCATCCTCCTCCTTCTCCTCCTCCTCCTCTTCCTCCTCTTCCTCCTCCTCCTCTTCCGCCTCCTCCTCCTTGGTACGGCTTCGGGTTGTACGCAGAAAGCCCCCCAGTTAGTCCCAGCTGGCCTCACCAAGCCCCCCGAATAGTCTGGGGTGCCTGTTGGAGCCAGCCCGGACCACCTGGGGGGGCTGACTGTGCGCAACCCGAAACCTTACCACACCTCCTCCTCCTCCTCCTCCTCCCCCTCCTCCTCCACCCCTTCTCCTCCTCCTGTCTTCACAGCAAGCACCTCACAGAGCCTCGAACTTGGCGTTGGATGCTCGGACCCAGGGTTTGAACGTGGAGTTTGGGCTGATGTCTTGGACGAGGCTCTTACAGTCATCGGCCTGACCTAAGGAACGATAGATAAGGAACGAAGCCCCTTTTTTTTCCCAGGCAATAACGCATAAGGAACGATAAATAATAAATAACGCATAAGGAACGATAAGTCACGCATGCGAGCCTAAGGAACGACCGAGCCCCTTTTGAAAACAAAGTGTTCCTTATTCAAGCCGCTCACTGTAGCACAATTCCTGACCTCATCGATGAAGCGGTCGACGTCGAGAATGAAGGGACCTCACGGGCTTTGCGCGAGTCGGTCCAAAGAGCTACGCAGGGCAATGCTCTGTGGGCAAAGAAATAGACCAAGGTCTTAGATGCGTGGCAGCCCTCAGATGTTCTCCCCAGGGGTACTTGGTGTGGGAGGCCCACGAAGATCTTGCAACGCGAAGCGCGCTGTATTAGCTCCCTCTCGGACGCAACTGCGAATCACCCTGAGAACGAGATCGGCCCTGGTCCTCACCAGCCTCCGCTGCCCTCTCTGGAGCCTCACCAGTTGATCAACGCCCCCGGGCGTTTCCATCGCACCACGGCGTCGACGTGGGACGGTTTTTCACCTTGCGCATTTCTATAGTCTCAGCCTGGATCAGGCTTCGCTGGCGTGCCCCTTGTTGGACGCAGCTCAGGGCGGTAGTGTCGGCGTTGACTCCCCAGCTTAATAGTCCAAGGCTCAGAGCTTCCTTTCCCGGATCACAGCGATTGGAATGATACTGGGATGTATCGCGTTGTTGTATATATATATATATATATATAAACACATATATATATATATATATATAAATACATACATATATATACACATCTGTATATATGTATATATATATATATATGAGGCGGGCTAAAGCAGCCACGCCGTAGACGTCCCTTTTCCCACACACGCGCGGTGAGACCGTTCTCGGCGCACGAGTGGCACACGACCTGCGCCCCTGGGACAATATGATGTTTCCTCTCCTGCTTCCTCTTTCTCTTCCTCCTCCTCCTCATGCACTGCCACCACCACGACCACCACCACCATCATCAGCATCATCAGCAGCAGCAACAACATCACCATCATCCTCGCCCTCATCATCACACAGTCACCATCGGCATCATCATCAGTATCATCATCATCATCATCATCATCATCATCATCATCATCATCATCATCATCATCATCATTAGCATCATCATGATCATCATCATCAGCATCAGCAGCATCGCCATCGTCATCCTCATCGTCCACCTTATCATCATAATCATCATCATCCCCGCCTCCTCATTCTCCTGATCATCATCCTCCTCATCCTCATCATCATCGTCATCAACATCATCATCAACATCGCCATCATCATTACCAGCATCATAATCATCGCCGTCAGCATCACCAAATTCATCATCAGCATCCTCGTAATCATTATCATATTCTTCTTCATCAGCCTCATCATTGCCAGCATCAGCATCATCAGCATGATCATCACCGTCATCACTATCATCGCCAACAACAACAAACAACATCATCGTCATCAGCATCGTCATCCTCATCCTCATTATCAGCATCATCATCATCGTCATCGTCTTCGTCATCATCATCAGCAGCATCTTCATCATCAGCAACACACTCATCATTGTCATCAGCACCTTCATCGTCATCACAAGCATCATTACCAACAACAACATTAATTATGATCCTCATCCTCATTCGCATCCTCCCTCTTCCTGTTGACCCGTCAGGGGCATATCGAAGTGACGGCGCTTGCACATCGGACGGCCGCCATGCACGGCGGCGTCCCTGTCTGAACCTGCGTGTGGCGCCACACTGCTGGACCTCCCATGGGCCGCGCAGGGCAGCCAGGATCGCATGCTGGCGGCACCCAGAGGGAACAGGGTCCTGTGTGGGTATCCGCAAGCCGCCCCGCGAAGCACCCACCGTCACAAGATGGCCACAGCTGCACGTCTCGCAACGCCAAGGGAAGCAAGGTCCATGTGGACCGCACCGTGGCGCAACAAAGGAGTGCACAACTTCTCCCCCACGCCATTGCCAAGTGAAGGCGCCACAACGTTGCCCATCTCCTGGACACCCCATTGCACGCATGCGACGATCAAATTATGCGAACTCTGGGACTGCAGCTCCGACCAGAACGTCGCGACCCCCGTGGATTTCTTCCCTCTTCTGGGAGTCGGTGGAATGGCGTAAGCCTCCCGCTGCGTCATGGACCTTTGTCGACCCCAAAACAGCGTCCAGACGAAACATGTCAAAACCCTTAGGTTCTTGACGACTTTGGCTCAGCCAGGAGTGGCACAGACGCCACATAGAGCCGATTTACTCATAGCAAATGTTCGGGCTCGTCTGGGGCGTCTCTCCATCCACATGTTGACGCCTTTTGAGACGAGCTCTGGAATCAACTTATTGCACGTTTCCGGGTCCAACTCAAAATTCCAGAACGAAGCCCCAACTGGCCCAAAATCCGCCCACCTGGTGATGGCATTCGGACGGGGCTCGGACCCAACACGGAAATGCTCGCGCTTGTGCCGTCCGAAAAGCTCGCCTTGGCCACGTGGGAACCTTCTTGGTCCCTTTTGGGGCCCTGCTCGAAGCCCTGTTCGGCCCTTGTTGGTGCGTCGTGGGCCGTCGTGGGTTGATATTGGGCAGTGTTCTGGCTACTTCTGGCCTCCTGATGTGGATGGCAAGCAGGGGTCCAGAGAGCCAACGTCCAGTCGTTGATGATGAGAACAGGCATCGATGAGCCACACATGCCTGAGCCCACTCGGCGATGGAATAGAGAAGACTGGAGTGCAGGAATGAGTGCAATATCCACACCTGCGAGAGGGTCCGTCTTTATTTTCTGGTTGTGTTCATCCCGTCGTGGAGCCGCCTTGGCCTGTTCCGGCGAGATCTGGAATGGGCGGACGGCCGCGAAGCGTCTCGAATAGGTGCACAACACAAACTTCCACGGTAAAGCAGGACATCGCACACCATGTATTGGCACAATGTGGAACATGGTAGCACTGCCTAGCGTCGTGTACCCATATAGTCATAGCGTAGCATCACAGATGAGTGCGCGCAGATCATGGCACACCGTAGAATGGCAAAGCGAGCGAAGGCAAGAACTGACAAAGCAACACACAAACAAACACATCATAACAGAGCGACGAGAAAGAAAGGAGCCCTGGAAACCTCTAGGGACGTCCCGAGAAACCCGCGAGGACCCCGCAAGTAACTCCGAGAACCCCCGAGCAACCCTTGGGAATGCACCCGGACGGCAGGTAATCGCGATCGTTTCCCTTGCACAGAACGGATAGGAACTAGGACACCCCCAGGCAAAGCCTAGTTAGGGGGAATGGTCGTCCCTTCGTCTCCGTCCCCCACTCCTCCGCATACTCCTGTATTTTCGCGAGCGTTGCGAACATGTCAAGCGTATGATCGACGTCGCATATGAACAAGAAAGATCATAACTAGGCGTAGTGGTATGCGAACCCCTGCGTACAATCATACATCACATGCGTGCAATATCAAGAGGGCATGCTAACGCTTCGCCATGCGCGCGCATCGCTTCATATACCCGTACACGCGTTCATCCTGTGCACACACACGCGCACGCACACACCCACACACATACACACACATGCGCACGCACACTTCAATACGGCCAGCGCGAACTCTGGACAGCCCTCTCTTGACACCTCTTGCCTGCAACAGCAATGGAAATGGCATGCCTGAATAACGACCGCCTGATTCATCGACCCATCGAGCTAGCGAGCACCATGAAGGCAGGCAAACATTAAATACTACGAAGTCATACTCATGAGAACGGCATGGTCTCTGTCCATGGCAGACCACCACAACTGTACAGCGGGGAGGCCGCATGACCAAACTGCCGCTCGAAACGAGCGCGGAGACGCTGGAGCGAAGTAATAGGAGAAGGAGCAGGACGGAGAAACGATGATACTAACTACGGAGTCGTCCCAATCAAGGCGCATCGGCATGCAATGCGGCAATCATGGTGCTGTGGGAACGGCAATGCGGCCAGACAATGACCTTCCACGTCTGGAAATAGCCGCTGCCATTCGACGGCGTGGCGGCGTCGTCGCCAGCTGGTCTTCATATTGCTGCGCGGAGCTTAGCGCATTCGGGCGAAACACGGCAGTAACACAGATATCACGTCGCCGCGCTTGGGATAACACGACTCGGCGCCTTCATCGCACGTTCAGGCTCCAGCTTGAAAGGCCTCCTCTTCCCTAAGCGCCCGCTCCTCGAGTTCCATCTCCGCAGGCGAGTGATCGCCGCCAGATCGACACCGCCAGCAGTCCAAGATGTCTGCAGCCATGTTGGGAACAATTGGCACGATGTCTGCGGTCATGTTCTGATCGAGCATAGTAAGACCTCCGCAGCGGGGTGCACCCACGTCCACGCCTTGACGCCCCACAGCTACTGCACCGCCCAGCATCGCCGAAATGCCGCGGCTGATGTCACCGAACCTTTGGCACGAGGAGACAGGGTCCTGATGAGAATGGGTCCTGCACCCGGGGTCTTCCCCAGGAGCAGCCTCTCATCCCGAGGCTATCTGAGAGTTCTGCCCTGGGCCCAGGGCGGGCCCCAGGCTGCCGAAGACGGCGAACATCATCGGGACCCTCTCTTTCACTTGGGAGACGTAGGAGGGGGAGTTCGGGCAGGGGTGGGGCTGGAGGAGCATCGCTCTAAGCGGCCTCTGGAGGACGGCACTGGTGAGAGCGTCCAGCTGGGCTCGCTCCCTGGCCCTGCCCCCACCTCGAGCTGCCCCCCCCCTCTACGAACCCCCGATGGGTGGCCACGCCTATAACCATCGCAGGCGCCGCGGGCCTCCTGGCCCATGGCCATGAGGCCACGGGTGAAGTCGCCGATCCTGGGGGACAGCAGGATACCGATGCCGCTACTCCACGGACCTCTCCAGAGGTGAGAGTTCACCGGGACTTCGAAGAGAATCCAGCTCTGGCGGCGAGGGCTCTCCCAGAGCACGTTCCGACCATGTTTTCGAGAATCCAGCCGTGGCGACGACGTCTCTCCAAGACGAGCAGCGGCATTCCTCCTCCTCCTCCTCCTCCTCCTCCTCCTCCTCCTCCTCCTCCTCCCTCCTCCCTCCTCCCTCCTCCCTCCTCCCTCCTCTTCCTCTCTTATTCCTCTCTTCTTCCTCTCTTCTTCCTCTCTTCTTCCTCCTCCTCCTCCTAATCCTCCTCCTCCTCCTCCTCCTCCTCCTCCTCCTCCTCCTCCTCCTCCTCCTCCTCCTCCTCCTCCTCCCCCTCCCCCTGCCCCTCCTCCCTCCTCCTTCTCCTCCTTCTCCTCCTCCTCCCTCCTCCCTCCTCCTCCTCCTCCTCCTCCTCCCTCCTCCTCCCTCCTCCCTCCCCCCTCCTCCCTCCTCCCTCCCCCCTCCCTCCCTCCCTCCTCCTCCTCCTCCTCCTCCCTCCTCCTCCTCCTCCTCCTCCTCCTCCTCCTCCTCCTCCTCCTCCTCCTCCTCCTCCTTCTCCCCCTCCTCCTCCTCCTCCTCCTCCTCCTCCTCCCTCCTCCTTCTCCTCCTTCTCCTCCTCTCCTCCTCCTCCTCCTCCCTCCTCCTCCTCCTCCTCCTCCTCCTCCTCCTCCTCCACCTCCTCCCTCCTCCCCACTCCCTCCTCCCCCCTCCCTTCTCCCACATCCCTCATCCCTCGTCCCAGAGCTGGCCCAGAGAGCGCAGTGCTCATCCAGGTCATGCTCGACCCTTCGCGAGGTTCGCAATGAATCCATGCTGGAACAACAGATCGGGTACTCGTTGACTCCCTCATCCTGTCGGGCAGCCCCTACAATTCAGGTAATTACCTGGCCCCCCTCACCGCCGCTCCGCATGCTGGGCTAGCAGATGACCTCCAACTGTATGTATCGAACAATCGTCCGACTGCCACGTAAAGACAACACGGCCATCAAGAATGCTCAGATCCTGGGATCTCGAAGCAGTCGCTCGATGTGTGCCTTGCCGCTCCTCGTTTGCGCTTGTTCGGACGTCAGCAATTGCAACGGGCCTCTGTATCTTTGAGGCATGGCAGGTGTAGCATTCCGGGGATATTCAGGCAGGTCCGTTGTCTTGGGACCGTCAGGTACAAGCAGACTTGCCCTGGCTCCGAAAATACAATCAGGCAATGTACGACTTGCCAGATCCACGTGAAGATCTTATCCCGTGGGAAGTGTGTATCAGGCGTTCGCTTTCTCTCGGAAGCGGGTCATCAAAGCAACGCTTTCCAATGAAGTTGTATATACCATAGGACATGTCTACCGGCAGAAGCGGCTGAGGCTTCCATGTTCGACATATTGTTTTATCTAGGCGTGCCTAGGCCGACTACTGATCCTATTCGCCCTCTCAGGCTCCAAGATGCTCCAGAGGTCCCTGTTCTCGTGCATGTGGTGCCCAGCAATCTTCCAGCAGGTTCAAGGGCTCCATCACCACTTAACATGTACATATCGGCTTATGGCTTATACCATCCGTGGTTCTCTTGAGCATGACACAGCTTTCGTGTACTGCCACGTGATGGTTGCCAACCGCTGAGGTCTTGTAGAGCACTTGGCTAATTGTTATCCCAAGTGTGCTGTGGCAGATCTCGCGCAAGCGCCTGATGCTTCGCATGACGAAGTTGCGTTGCCCAATGACGAGGTATCAAGATGGGCGGTGTCACACCAGAATGCTGGTCTAGGACGTTGGCGACATGAGCATCCACCTTTCGAAGGTACCCTGAGCAGGCCCGCCACCCCCTTCGAGACCCAGATGCTTCTACTTGTGAACGACTCTGAGCTCAGTTCCCTCTGATCGCATCCGACTACGCTTTTTCGGAAGAGGCCAGCAAAACCATGCTTGATCTGATTGATCCTGTGGCGGCTGCCCTGGAGGCTCATCCCACTGGCCACAAGACCCTGGATGTCCGGTTCTGGTCGTTCAGGCCCCAAGATTTCCAAGGTGTGCCGCTCTCGGGCTGCCGTACAAAATCAAACGTGCCTCCTGTTTTGTTTAAAACTTGTTCTCTAGTACGCTTCGTACCAGGGGCACTCAATGGACTCTCGAATGCTCGCACGCCGGTCCTAGGCTTGAACTGCTTTGCCTGTAACATGACATTGAGATCGACGCGACACGAGGAAACCTGAAGACAGTGCTTTGGGGATTTGAATTCGGGCGGGGGGGAGCGCTTGTGAGACTTGGTCGGCCACGGGAAAGTATAAAGGAGGCCCCCCGCCGCTACGTACTACCGAGCACATGTGGGCAATCCCAGAGTGCACCCCCTTGCAAGGGGACCAGCTACAGGTTGGATCCCAACTGTTGTTTGCTTTTGAAATTTTGCTGGCCGAACACATGCGTGCTAGCACGGCGAGATGGGCTGAGCACCCAATTCCTCCCGATTGGTTCCCCCCTGTCCCCACCTCGTTCAGGTGGCCTCCTCTTGTCGCCCTAGTCTCCTCCGAGCATTCAAGTGTCACGGATGTTGATCAGTGTGCAGCCTGGCACTACTCGGGATAGTGTCGATCGGGCCCCCACTCGAATCATCAGCATCATAATGCCCGCCCGCTCTGTCGTGAGGGTCTGCATCTCTTTATGCGCCGTGGAGAAAGGAGATTGTCAGCAGCTTCTTGGTCCCCTTCGACTTTGCTCCCCAAGGAAAGCGGGGCAGAACCGACCCCAAACTCCACAGAATTCTGTCTGTTGCCAGTGATGATGAAGCGGAGGATGTCTCCGCCACCTCTCAGGCTTCGAGGCCCGATCAGTCTCTGCACGAGGAGGACATCTCCGAGCAAGCATACCTTGATCTGGCACAGCGACGAGACCGAGGCCTTGTGGCCAGCCCCGCTCACCCCGTTCCTGAGCTCTTCCCTCGACACGTCGTTGACGTCGCCGTCGTCGGTTCCCCCTCCTCGGGGGATCTACTGACCCGGGTCAATCCAGACCCGGGTCAGTTAGGCTCTGCAGGATCTTGCAAAATCCGGCAGGATCCTGCACCCAAGCCCGGGTCAGTGCACCCCTGGCTCTGCAGGATCCTGCAAGTTCTGGCGCTCTGGCTGAATCCCGTTTGCATTGACCCCCCTCTCTTGAGCCCCGGCCCTCCTGCCTTTCTGCCTTCCGCGCCCGACGAGCGCGCCACCGCCCGCCGCCGCGCGCGGCCGCCGCGGCCGCGGCGGTGCACAGTCGAGAGCGCGCGATCGAGCGAGCGGCGGGCGGGAGAAGGCGGCGGCGGCCAGAGCCCGCAGCGAAGGCGGCGGCAGGCAGGCGGCAGCCAGCAGCAGGGGAGAGACCAGCCGGCCTCCCCCTCCTCCACAGGCCATAGCCGAGGAGCTGCGCCCTCGGATGGCGGCCAACCGTGCCCTCGCCAGCGCCCGCCGCGGAGCGAGGCGCCGCGAGGACCGTGCCCGCCGACCGCCGTGGCGACCCATGGCGTGCTGCGAGGCACGGTGACTTTCCGCGGCGAGCGTGGGGGGGGAAGCAGGCTAGGTGCGCAAGCGTCTCAACCGACGTTCCCTCCCATCCCTTACCATGGCGTAGATCTCCTCTCTACTCGCGCAGTCGGATGTCGAGCAGGGCGGAGCCAGCAGAACGAGCAGAAACGCGGAAATGAGGCCAACGCGGCAGCGGGAGCACGATTCGGAACCCAGGGAAGCGCGGAAATGAGGCCAGCGCCGCAGCGGGGGGAACGTGAGAAGGTGCGGGCCTTTTCAGAAGACTCGGAAGTTCCCAGGCCTTCTGAGAAGTTCCCTGTGCCCTCGCCGAAGACAGGAACACCTTATCAGAAGGCGCGAGGGCTTCTGAGAAGTCCCGCCGCCTTCTGAGAAGGCCTTGTCCTTCTCACTTCCCCCACATCGCTCGCCGCATACTAATTCTAGCCCTGGAGCTCAGGCGGGAGCGACATCGGCTCTCTCTCTCTCTCTCTCTCTGCTGCTGCCGCCGCCGCTTTCTTGTTCCCGTGATCGGGGCTTCGACGGTGGCGTAAATGGCGTGTTTCTCATGCTGCGTGGCGCCACCCGTCGCACCCCCCCTGTCATCGAGCACGCACTCTGCGATGCCGCGCGCCGCATCATCAACCTCCTTCCTCCCTCCTCCTGCTCCTGCCTCCCTCCCTCGTCCCTCCTCCCTCCTCCCTCCCTCCTCCCTCCCCCCTCCTCCCTCCTCCTTCTCCTCCTTCTTCTCCCACCCTCCTCCCTCCCCCCTCCCTCCTCCTCCCTCCTCCTCCCTCCTCCTCCCTCCTCCTCCCTCCCTCCTCCTCCTGCTCCTGCCTCCGCAGGTACCCCGTCCCGCGCCTGCGCCCTGGGCACCTCCCTGGGCGCGCTGCGGGCGGTCGGCGCGGGAGCCCCCCGAACCTCCGGGGGGGCCAGCTTCGGGTTCCGAGGGTAGGGGGGAGGAGGGAATGATGATGATGATGATGATGATGATGATGATGATGATGATGATGATGATGAGGATGATGATGAGGATGATGATGAGGATGAAGATGATGGTGATGTTGATACCGATGATGATGATGACGATGATTATGATGATGATGATGCTGATGATGATGATGATGATGATGATGCTGATGCTGATGCTGATGCTGATGCTCATGCTGATGCTGCTGATGCTGCTGCTGATGATGATGATGATCCCCATAAGGAGCTCCACCGAAGGCCCCAATGCCACCGCCCGCAGGCGTCCCCGACACCCAAATTGGCACACCCCGCACACGCTTCGTGGCCCCATAGGGAGCTCCACCGAAGGCCCCAATGCCACCGCCCGCAGGCGTCCCCGACACCCAATTCGGCACACCCCACACACACGTTTCGTGGCCCCATAGGGAGCTCCACCGAAGGCCCAACTGCCACCGCCCGCATGCGTCCCCCACACTCATTTCGGCACATCACTCACAC